CGCGGCAGCTTCCACTCTGAGTCCCTCAGCCACGAAGGTGCCGGTATCGTACGCCGCGTCGGCTCGGGCGTGACCGACATCAAGGTCGGCGATAAGGTCTGCTGGATGGGCAAGGGTCTCTTCGGCAACCTCGAGCGCTTCAAGGCCATCCACCTGCACCAGATGCGCGACGAGGACGGCCTGAGCTTCGACGAGATGGCTGGAATGCCTCTGGTCTTCGCGACAGCCGTCTACGGCCTGCTGTACCTCGGGCGCTTGAGGAAGGGCGAGAAGGTGCTAATCCACTCCGCCACCGGAGGTGTCGGTCTAGCAGCCGTCCAGATCGCCAAGATGGTCGGCGCTGAGATCTTCGCTACCGTCGGTACCCCCGCCAAGCGCGAGTTCCTGAAGCGCGAGTACGGCGTCGAGGACTCCCACATCTTCAGCTCGCGCGACACTTCCTTCGCCGCGGGCATCATGGCTGCCACTAACGGCTACGGTATCGATGTGTCCCTCAATTCCCTGGTCCGCGAGCTGCTTGCGGCGTCGTGGAGCGTCATGGCTAACAACGGCCGACATATCGAGATTGGCCGTACCGATATCATGGAGTTCGGTATCCTCGACTTGAACGTCTTCAAGCGCAACACCACCTTCAGCGCCTTCGACTTTGGTGTTGTTGCTGATGAGCATCCCGGTAAGTACCTCGAATTTGATGCATCTAGGAAATGATGCTAACTGAGTTTGCAGAAATCGTTGCCGATGTCATGAAGGACGTGATGAAGTACCTGCGCGAGGGCAAGATCCGCCCACTTCAGCCGATGGCTCTGTTCCCTGCGACCGAAGTCTCAGCGGCCTTCGCCGAGTTTGCCAACCCTCACAGGCTGGGTAAGGTCGTGGTGTCGTTCGGCAGCTCAAGCTCAGCTATTGCTGTTCGACGAGAGTACAAGGATGCCGTGAAGTTCAAGCCTGATGGAACGTACGTGCTCATCGGCTGCTTGGGTGGTCTCGGTCGATGCCTTGCCCGCTTCATGGTCGACCGCGGCGCGCGCAACCTCACTTTCCTCGGTCGTGGTGGTGCAGACAAGAAGGAGGCGGCTGCCATGATTGACAGCCTGCGCGCTCGTGGATGCACAGTCCACGTGGTGCGCGGAGACGTCTCCAACAAGGAAGACGTAGCCAAGGCTTGCACTGCCGCCGGTGTTCCCGTGTACGGAATGGTCCAAGGTGCTATGGCACTCGAGGTAAGCCATGCTCCCATCTTCATATTCCTTAGGTACGCTTTACTGACATATCAAAGGACAAACTTTTCAGCAAGCTCGACCTTCCGGGATGGCAATACCCCATCGACCCCAAGGTCCGTGGCACATGGAACTTGCACGAGTGCCTCGCCGGCCAACCCCTGGACTTCTTCGTCATGCTGTCCTCCATCTCCGCCATGACTGGTGCGCCGACCCAGAGTAACTACTGCGCCGGCAACACTTTCCTAGACTTCTTCGCCCGTTACCGCGCCAACCTAGGCCTACCAGCTACAACTGTCGGCCTGAGCATGGTTCTAGAGGTTGGATTCGTGTCGCAGAACCTGGCTATCGAGCAGGGTATCTCTCGCTCCGGTATCCACGGTATCACCGAGCGCGACTTCTTGCTGCTCATGGAGCAAGCCATGAAGCCCGGGCGCATAGGCGACTGGCGCCTCGACCCTGGCGCGAAGAACTTCCTGGTCAGCGGTCTCGAGCCGGCCAAGCTAGCCGCAGACCTCGACGTCCACGGCTACCGCTTCTGGCTGCAGCCCCGTGTCGGACCGCTATTGACAGCACTCCAGCGCAGGAGCGAGGGATCGGGCCGCGGAGGATCGGGCGGGGCCAAGGCGGTGCTCGAGCTGAGCGACATCGTCGAGGCGACGGTGGACAAGTTCGCCAAGACGTTCATGATCCCCAGCGACGACGTCGACCCGTCGAAGCCGCTGGTGGCGTACGGCATGGACAGCATGATCGGCACGGCGCTGCGCAACTGGGGCTTCTCGACTTTCGGCGTGGATATTCCCCTTTCCGATTTCATGGGCCCGCTTCTTACCGCCCAGTCTCTTGCCGATAAGATTTTCGCGGGTCGCCCGTGAAAAGGACCCCAATGAGTTAATGACTTGTACATATATTATATATTATAGCCGCGCGTGAAAGATTTAAACTTAGGTACTTATTATAGAAATAGATTTCTTGTTCAAGAAGTACCTTAAGCTCTCTCACATATAAGGCATCAGTCAATGTTTGATTTTGATTAGTTTGTCTCTGATGGTCGTGAACTTCGAGGTAGCAAGATGGCACAGCGGCTATCTAATGTTAGCAATCATATTGTGTTCGAACGGCGAGGATTGGAGGATCCCCCCTATGTAGGTCTACGCTATTATTAGCCCCGGGACCGAATCTTCAGCCTTCTGCAATGTGCGCGTCGGCAGATTGGTCCAAGGTAGCTCATTGGGTCTCTGGTTCCAGCGATCGATCACGCAACTTAATCGCCGAGCACGTCAGCACCCGCTTGCAGGGTAGCGACCCAGCACCACGCAATCAACACTGAGATAGCATAGCACAACAGATTATTAGAATGTGGTCGGCCATTAAGCTCCGGAGCTCGCGTTCGCTAGTCGGCGTCATGCTCAATTCATTGGCTAGCGATGTTAGCTGTGATCTGAGGTGTTGTGATACTTAAGAGCTCGATCTTGTCATGCTAGTGAAATGAAGCCTCGTCACAATTATTCTCACCTTCCTGTCAAGATACATCTACTATGGCTCTCGAGAAGGCTCTTGAGGCCGCCGTTAAGGCTAGTTCTGGTGATGAAGAAGCCGCCCCTGTGAATGTCGACGAGTCCACGGAAGCAGACTGGACTGAGGCTGAGGAGCGCGCCGTGAAGCGGAAGTGAGATATTACCCCAATAATGCCCTGGTTATTCTGATTTGTTTTCATCTTTAGATCGAAGCTCTGACCGTCTACAGACTCGATTTCATTCTGCTACCTATACTGGGCTTAGCATTCTTTGCTCTGCAGATGGACCGAGGGAACATCTCGAATGCCTTGACGAGCACCATTACCCAAGACTTGGGTGTCGATACGAACCAGATCAACGTCGGAAACAGTCTCCTCTCAGCTGGTATTGTGCTCCTGGAAATCCCCTCCAACGTTCTACTCCAGCGGGTAGGGCCTCAGAGATGGCTATCGGGCCAGATCGTGGCTTGGGGCTTAGTTGCTACTTTCCAGAGTTTCATCACAAACTATGGTAGCTATCTCGCCACTCGCCTGCTGCTTGGACTGGTAGGTTGGACGGATCTGTGAACCCGTTGTATATACGCATAAAGTGCTGACGTTCACCTGCTTAGTGTGAGGCGGGCTTTATTCCTGGTGCACTCTACACGATGTCCACTTGGTACAAGAAGTCCGAGTCCAGCTTGCGGATCTCTATCTTTTTCCTCGGCAACCTCATCGCCGCGGCTACTACTTCGCTGATTGGTGCTGGTATCCTCAGCATGGGAGACCGGTACGGGATTGCTGGATGGAGATGGCTCTTCATAGGTACACATTACTCCCTTGAGTTGCTCCTTTCCAGTACTCTAATGCCGTGATCTAACATGGGTTATTACCCACTGCTAGTGGAAGGGGCCATAACGATCGGAATCGGCATCATCTTCATTCTCTTCCTCCCGCCATCAGTTGGGAACGGTTCCCCGCTCATAAGCTTCGGGCGGTGGTCGTACTTCAGCCGGCGCGAATCGTACATCATGGTGCGTCGCGTGATCCTCGATGACCCGGCTAAGACGACGAACCACCTGCGGATCTCGGGCGGCGACGTGTGGACGACGGTGCGCAACCGACGGATCCTATTACACATCGTCATCACGGTCACAGCGACGATTCCTGTCAACGCCATTAGCACGTACGGGCCTAGCGTCATCAAGAGCCTGGGCTACGGCACGGTACGCGCCAACGCTATGGCCAGCGTCGGCGCTTTTATCTCAGCGGTTATGGTCGTGCTGCTGGGCTGGATATGCGACACGACGAGGAGGCGCGCGCCGTCGCTGCTGGTCGGCGCCGTCTGGAGCCTGATCGCGTTCGCGTGCCTACGCGAGGCGTGGAAGTGGAGCGCCGGCAGGAAGTACGCAGCCGTTGTCTTTTCCATGGCCGTGAACTCCACGATCCACATTCTCAATGTCGGCTGGCTGTCGGTCAACTGCCAGCGTCCGCAGGAACGAAGCGTCGCTATGGCGTAGGTCATCCCCCCATCCCTTGGTTTAACAGGTTCATGTTGCTAACAGCAATACTAGGATGATCATAATGGGCGCCAATGCTGCCGGCATCGCGGGTAGTCAGGTCTTCCGAACGCAGGACGCTCCTCTCTATTTGAACGCTTTTACTGCGTGTCTGGTACTTTCCGCCGTAGTTGTCGTCGAAATCATAGGGTTAAGCACTTGGTACTTCGTCAGCAATAAGAAGCTTGACAATCAAGGAGATGGTCCTGTTGTGGTTGGTAAGACGGATGAAACGCCTGACGGACATAGGGTGGAACTGGTGAGAAAATGGAGATGGACATGGTAGTAGGGTTATGATGTACCTACCGTATGAGGTTATATATAAGTAGTTGTGAAGGGGAGATATAGTATTGGTCTATAGTCGGAATTTAGTCAAGCGAGCGGATCGCCTCAGTAGGTATATTGCTCAAAGATGGCTGATGGTTTAATGGATGGCCATTTCCGGATACTTAGGTTGGTTCATTAAAAGGTTCCATATTGAAGCATTACCCTTCGGAGCATATTGGAGATATACTTTGGTCTCATTATGTCTGTCCTCTTGATGTGAGCGGACTGCTCGTGAAGCTCAAGGGTGAGTCTCAGGGGACCCTGGCTTGGCGAGCTTGGTGGACCAATCGGTTAATTAGGGCAAACTTTGTCTCTCTTTGCAAACACATTATATAGAGTTAAATATGTGCTGTTGAATCTCAGCGAATCACATCAAACGCGTTCCTTCAAGGACCGAATAAGGGGCTTGTGGTTTAGTGGTATAATACCCGCTTAGCATTCCGAAGTAAATGTGACATGCGGGTGGTCCGGGGTTCGATTCCCCGCGAGTCCATCATTAGGAGGTTAGATTCCTTCTATACCGTCTTTTTGTAATGTTCCGCCTTTTTGTCTTTCTTTGATTGTCCTCTTCGATGTTCTAAGTTTCCTGTTCCTATGGTGTGTCAATCTAGTCACTCAATTCCCACATTTGGTTGGATATACGTTCTGTTTTTGAAGCTCTTTGGTATTTCTGCCCACTTGAAACTATCTGTGTAAGTGACAAGCATATCTGCATACAACCCTTCCAACGTCGTATATGTGATTAGCTTCGTCTTCTCCTAGGATTAGTAGTGAGGCAGGTCGCGGATTTAATCATGGCGATAAGGGATTTATTAGGTTTCAATTGAGTTCGTAAAGCTTCATAGAATTATCGTGGTATTAAGAATGCGAATTCGTATTCGGGGTCTGTGTTTCGCGATAGTTGAAGCTTCATCGAATGCGACTAAAGCCACCCGAGAGATCAGCCACATTTCAGACTCTCCTGTGGCTTGTCGGATTCGTATTCGGGTTCAGGGAATGTTCAGAGTTACAGCAGGGACAGCACGGTAGAAGTAACCCCTGTCTCCGCCTTCCTCTAATGCAGGACCAGTGAGACGTCGTTGGTCGAGCTCAAATGAGCTTAGACCAATTCTAGACTAAAATTGGCCAAGAAATTAGAGGTCCGTCTAGGTCCCTGCAATCAATTGTCGATAACGACCGAAAAATAATAAATTGTTCTCTACTTCCCCCTTCTTCATGTGCTACTCCTCTCGATACTACAACGCCATCATAAATTGTACCTTTACAATTCTAGTTGTTGACTTTGTATTCTCAAGCATTTCCCTTCATTCAAATACCTTGGTTGTCTATTCTTGTCTAAATCATTCAACATGGCGCCTTCAAGGATCGAACTCGAGAAGCAAGATAAGGACCGCGATGCCGCATTCAACAAGGCCATGCACGGAAATACCGCTCAAACCAAAGGAGGGTTCCGTGCTATGATTGGCAAGGGCTCTGGCGCACAGAAGGCTGCCGTCGACGAGTACTTCAAGCACTGGGATCACAAGGATGCCAAGGACGAGACGGAGGAAGATCGCGCAAAGCGAACAGCTGAATACGCTACCCTCACAAGACAGTATGTTGCAAAATCACACCCCTTTACCTCTACTACTTCTTGCTAAGACCGTCAATAGCTATTACAACCTTGCAACCGATCTGTACGAGTACGGCTGGGGCCAATCGTTCCACTTCTGCCGATATTCCATTGGCGAGACCTTCTACCAAGCTATTTCCCGACACGAACACTACCTTGCACATCAGATCGGTATCAAGGAGGGCATGAAGGTACTGGATGTTGGTTGCGGCGTCGGTGGCCCTGCTCGGGAAATCGCCAAGTTCACTGGCTGCCACGTCACTGGCTTGAACAACAACGATTACCAGATCCAGCGTGCCACCCAATACGCCGCGAAGGAGGGTCTCTCTAACCAATTGACCTTTATAAAGGGCGATTTCATGGTTAGTCCTACATCTTTATTGTAGCCCAATATGGACCTAGGAAATTAACGCAACACAACAGCAAATGGACTTCCCCGATAACAGCTTCGACGCCGTCTATGCTATCGAAGCCACCGTCCACGCCCCCAAGCTTGAAGGTGTCTACAGCGAGATCTTCCGCGTGTTGAAGCCCGGTGGTATCTTTGGTGTGTACGAATGGCTCATGACCGACGAGTACGACAATGACAACCTCGAGCACCGCGAGATCCGTCTCGGTATCGAGCAGGGCGACGGTATCTCCAACATGGTCAGGGTTTCGGAGGGCCTTGAGGCCATGAAGATTGCCGGCTTCGAGATGCTTCACCATGAAGATCTCGCTGAACGTCCTGACCCGATTCCGTGGTACTGGCCCCTTGCTGGCAAGTGGAAGTACATGCAATCTGTCTTCGACGCGCCTACCATTGCGCGGATGACGTGGTGGGGCCGTCTATTGGCGCACAACTTTGCTGGTGGTCTGGAACTAATCGGGTTCGCACCGGCGGGCACCAAGAAGACGGCGGACAGTCTCGGTCGCGCGGCTGACTGTTTAGTCGCGGGTGGCGCGAAACACCTATTCACGCCAATGTATCTGATGGTGGGCAAGAAGGCAGCAGAATGAGCAAGACAAAGATGCTTATAGGGTGCTTATATGCACGTAGTAATGAGTAAAGAAGCGACGGCAACGCCTACCTAATAATAATGCCAAGCTAGAGCCACTCGCTAGAAGAGTTCTGAACCGGCTAGACGGTTGTGGATATGGACTCTAGCTCTTGAGTTCTCTGTACATATCATACCGAGACATAGCATACTGACGTATAAGTTTTATTATATATTAAGAATAAGAATAATGTGAGAATATTTGTCACTTGGATGTAAAGCAGGTGTTTTTCGGCCTATATAGATGAGTAACGTAATCCGGTCTAAGACTTACATAGATGAGTGATATAGGAGAAATAAATATGTTGCGACAATAAGTAAACATATCTAGGTTAAGGGTGATGGTCTGCTTTGATCAGCCTCCAACAAAGGCAAGGCCGAAGTGGGCACAGCTTCCTAAGCTGCTAGGTTAAGGGTAGGGGGAGATACCAGCATTAAGGGACCACTTACATAAGACAGACAGGAGATTCTAAGCTCCGATGATTCGGAAAAGCTGGTCGGGTTTTACCCAATGCGGCCTAGCGGATTATCTCACCCTCAACAAGCTGTTCCTATTCTATCCGAAAATTAGTTGGGAGACAACGCGAATTGGTAGCAACTCCCAAAAAAAAGAAAAGAAAACGAGGCTTACGGAGAAAATCGCTCTTCACCTTCCATATTCCTTCACCTCCATCAATCATCACCATCACCACCAACGCCAAACCACTTCAACTTCTAGTCGGCTGGGAGTTCGGACTCAATTGATTGATCTCTACTCTCCTCTCTCACACGGGGTCTATCTAGTGACCGACTCAATCAAACATGTCTCGCTATCTACGCCCGGTAGCTCGGTTAGCTGCCTCTGCTCGCGTTGCGACGGCACCCCGAACTCTCCCCCGCTACGTCCCAGCTTCCTTCGCTGTCTCGCAACGGAGGACGTTCGCCGATGTCAAGGGAACTAAGGAGTACACTGTCCGTGATGCCCTCAATGAGGCCATGGCTGAGGAGCTCGAGGCAAACCCCAAGGTCTTCATTATCGGTGAGGAGGTGGCCCAGTACAATGGCGCATACAAGGTCACGAAGGGCCTGCTAGATCGCTTCGGAGACAAGAGAGTCATCGATACCCCGATTACCGAAAGTGGTTTCTGTGGTTTGGCCGTTGGTGCTGCGCTGAGTGGTCTGGCTCCTATAGTGAGTAAAATTACATATACCCCCGAAGTTGGTTGGGGAAGCTCCGGAAAATCTAACCAGCTACACTCCTCCTAGTGCGAGTTCATGACCTTCAACTTCGCCATGCAAGCTATCGACCAGATCGTCAACAGCGCCGCCAAGACGCTCTACATGTCCGGCGGTATCCAACCCTGCAACATCACCTTCCGTGGCCCCAATGGTTTTGCCTCTGGTGTCGCCGCTCAGCACTCTCAGGACTACAGCGCTTGGTACGGTTCTATCCCCGGTCTTAAGGTTGTCTCTCCCTGGTCTGCCGAAGATGCAAAGGGTCTACTCAAGGCCGCCATCCGCGACCCCAACCCGGTTGTCTTCCTCGAGAACGAGCTTATGTACGGTCAATCCTTCCCCATGTCCGAGGCTGCGCAGAAAGACGACTTCGTCATCCCCTTCGGCAAGGCCAAGATCGAGCGCTCTGGCAAGGACTTGACCATGGTTTCCCTCTCTCGTACCGTCGGCCAGTGCCTAGTCGCGGCCGAGGCCCTGAAGCAGAAATACGGTGTCGACGTCGAAGTTATCAACTTGCGATCGGTCAAGCCTCTCGATGTGGAGAGTATCGTCCAGTCAGTTAAGAAGACGCACCGACTGATCGCGGTCGAGTCCGGATTCCCCTTCGCTGGCATGGGCTCCGAGATTCTCGCCGTGACTATGGAATACGCTTTCGACTACCTGGATGCTCCCGCGCAACGAATCACCGGTGCTGAGGTTCCCACTCCCTACGCTCAGGGCCTCGAGCAGATGGCCTTCCCGACCGAGCAACTCATCGAGAACTTTGCCGCAAAGGTGCTGCGTGTATGAAGGGAACGGACGGAAGGAAACAATGATAGAAGGGGAGTTTGAGGCATGAGCAATGTACAATATTAATCATTTACTACCCGGTATGATTGTCAACTGGAATAGGTGTCTCAAAGATGGCAGAGTCATTTCCCACTGCGAATAAAGAGGATACATTGTTTTTTAGCAACGCATATCCGAATTCCCCATTATCGCGTGCTACCTAGCACTTTTACTACCAAATCCAATAGACTCTAGATGTGATATATGTTCCATTCTGCATGAGGGCACGTTAAGAATTAAGGCAAGGTGCTTTGCATATGGCCAGGGCCGTGTAACCTTCTTGATCTAGATATACGATGGAGAGGTGTTGACGCAATTCCCTGCGCGGACCTTTATGTATTGTTCCACATAGATCGGCCGGATTCCGGGTTGGTCCGCACCTGCAGGCCGGTTTGTACAGGCCGGACAAACCGAGTTGCAGTGAACTATGATCGACCTGATATAAAGTGCCAACGAATAACGTTGCATCGTCCATGTCCACGGGTCGCATATAGGCCAACCAGAACTGTCGATTTAAAACTGCCGCACAAGAGGAGGTTGGTTAGTTGGTTAGTTGACCATTGTAATGATTTGATAGGTTTCCAGCTTTGAGAGCAATATTGAAGCAAACATATCATACCCCAAATCCAACATTAGCGAGAAAGCTTGTCTGCTTGAGGGCGAGCTGAGATATTAATACATACTTACTTACCTAGGTGTATAGTGAAGTAATTGTAACTTCCCGCATTCAACAGCCGAGACACATTGATAAATCAATTGATCAGCCTCTCGAACGCCATCTTTGGACATGGGGTTGATCGA